ATAAAATAATATTTCTTTCTTTTTTTTTTTTTCTTTCTTGAGACAGGGTCTCACTCTGTTGCCCAGGCTGGAGTGCAGTGCCATCACCTTGGCTCACTGCAGTCTTGACATCCAGGCTCATATGGTCTTCCCTCCTCAGCCTTCCAAGTAGCTGGGACTACAGGTGTGTGCCACCATACCTGGCTAATTTTTGTAAATTTTCTTTTATTTTTTTTTGTAGAGGTGTAGGGTTTTGTTTTGCTATGTTGTCCAGGATGGTCTCAGACTCCTGGGCTCAAGCTATCCGCCTGCCTCAGCGTCCCAAAATACTTTTGTAAATGTAATAAAAAGGGGAAAACGAAGTAAGAGAGACCTCTGATGATTCTCATTATTTGTCTTTGTAATAAGATATTTTAAAAAGAATGTGTGGCAAACAAAAGAAAATAACAATTCTGCTAAATAAACCTCTGCTCTCCCTGACCTCTGCCATACTTATGAACACGTATGGGGATTTTCTGTAGTGTTCTCTTCCCCCACGCACACAGCTTAAAAAACATGCTCCCAAGTTTCTACCAGTCTTTCTTCTGGAAAACAATTTTAAATGACCTTAGATTCAAGTTTTTATTCATTCTGCAAATACTTACTGAGCTTTACTAAGTGTTGGTTTCTGTGCTTCATGCAACGAGTTGACTAATACGTGCGGAATGTGGTCAGAAAGGCAAAAACATATTGATAGAGTTGAGAGTATGAAGAGAAGAAGGTAGACCTCAGGCAGGGGATGTTACTTGAGCAGGGCCTAGAAGGGTGAGCAGAAGGTTGGTAGACAGTGTGGCTCATGCTGAATGACCTCGGCAGAGTTTGGGGGAATGGGCAAGTGTTAGGTACCTTTGAGGACCAGCAGGTTGTCTAATGTGGCTGAAAAACCACGAGCACAGTGATCCAGGAGGAGTCCCAAGTTGGTATAAGTTAAACAGAACTTTTAGCTTTTTTTTTTTTTTTTTGGTATTTCAGTAGTAGAGAGCCACTTAAGGCTTTTCAGCTGGGGAGTAACTCAGTAAGGTTGGAAATTAGGAATATTTGCCTTGGCTGCTTTGAGAGACACAAGGAAGAGACCAAAGTAGTAGTTCAAGTGAGAAGAAAGAAATTTTCAGCTCAGGGAGATGGCAAGTAGAGAAGGGAATGAAAAAACATGAGCCAAATTTATGGAATTTGGCTGTATTAGGGATAGTATACCAGAAAGAATCAAAGTTTGTGTTTTTGTGTATCAACCGAAAATGTAATTGACTTTGTTGAGTCCAACCTGCATCTGGAATTGAATATCTGGTAATGGAAAGAAGCTGGTTTTGCAAGGCTCTGTGAGGGCATGTGCAGCCTTCTCTGTCTCTGCATACCCTGTTCCGCATTTTCTGACACCATGCTCAATAAGTGTTCGTGGAAGGAATGAATTTGGTGAATTTTGTTGAATGGCATAAGTGAGTTTACCACTGGGACAGAACCATCAGATGATTTAGGGAGGATCAAGCTAACCTGGATTTGAATCCTGACTTGGCAATTCCTAGCTCAGTGATCTTGAGCAAGTAACTGAATCTTTTGGTTTCCTCATCTGCAAGATGAAGGATAACACTATCTCTTGGGATATAATATGATTATTCCTTATCAACTGAATGAATGAATGCACACATAAAATATTTAACGTAGCATCTGGTATATATCTGAGATAAATGCTCCTCAGGCATTTGCTGTTGTTACTTATGGGGAGTGTGGATGTCAGCTTGTGATTGGCAGAAAAGTATTGATGAGTTGTAAGCAGAGGGTGGGAGGAGAGTAGTAGCCTGTGTGTCCTTGAGGGCCTCAACCGGGAGTAGGAGTGAGGCAGTTTAGGGAAAGCTCCTACGGAAGAAGTGAGAGAAGGACGGGTAAAGGAGAAAGCCCAGGTCAGCGATAATGTGAGGGGACTTGAAAAGTTCAATGTCAGCTGTCCCAGACAAGGAGAAGGAGTCAGGATGGAAAGTACCAAATTAAGAGAGGTCAGGGAGGGTGAGAACTGAGACTGGACACTGAGTTTGGCTGTTCAGAAAGACCCCAACCGTCAAAGGAGAAGTTTCAGGAGAGCAGAAGCTAGGTTACATGTGGTCAAGGAGAGCATCAAGGAAAAAAGGGAAGATTCTGTGGGCTAAGGAGGAGCTCATTGCCTCAGTAGAGGAAGGGACAAAAGGCGAGACTTCTAAAATATATTCAAGACAGTTTAACTTTTAAGTTTGCACTGGTACAAATAGGTACAAACCCACCACACTGTACAGTTTCTTGTTGTCCATGTGAGCAGTCTCTCTGAGATCTTCAGTGCTCAGTCTTTGAGGTCCCAGTGCAAAAACATTAGAATGGTGGTATATATATTTATAAATGAATAAAGTGTAATATATAATGTAAACAATCAATTGTAGTTAATACAATAAATGCAATCATGTGTTGCTTAATGCTTAATCAGTTAAATCATACGTGCTGATAAGGCCCAGGGGTCATATTTCAATTATCTCCTCCATCAGTTTCCTGCAGTGAAGCTGTGGATTGGAAGGGCAGCAGGCCAAGTAGGAGTCGGGGCTCATCACCACGATGTCATCACTGATGCCCCGGTCAGTACTCAGTCCACACTTGGCTGGCTAGAGCATGCCACCTGAGGAGAAGTAAGGCCAGAGCATTTTCACAGAGTGGAAGGAATTCCTGGTCCTAGTGTGTCTGACTTTCTACCAGATAACATAAGCTTTGATGCTAGAAAGCAACTTTGAGCCCTACTGAGAGAGAGAGAAAGAGAGAGGACACCAGGAAGAAACATTAGAGGAGCAAGATTAGAGAAACAAGACTTGACCTCTGCCCTTGAGCAGGGCTGCCATACTGCAGCTAGGTAACCTCCTTACCACCTCCACGACCATGTGTGGCAGCCCTGACTCTCAGAGGACTGCACGTACACAGCACTGTATTCCTTGACATCTTTTTTCAAACTGTGTCCTTCCCCATTGCTTATCTGGTGAGCATTATGTGTCAGTAGGTAATAGTCATTGTGCAAACATCATAGAGTGTACTTACACAAACCTGGAGGGGCTAACCTAATACACACTTAGGCTAAATGGTATAGCCTATGGTTCCTAGGCGACAGACCTGTAAGCGTGTTACTGTACTGAATATTTCAGGTGTTTGTAACACAATGATATTTGTGTATCTAAACATAGAAGAATAGTACAAATCTGGTATTATGGGATCACCGTCGTATATGCTCTTTGTCGTTGACTGAAATGTCATTGCACAGCACGTGACTGTACATTATAACCAACACTTAATGAGTTCTGTGGGCCAGCAGTGTTATAAGTGCTTTCGTTGGTATTATCTCATTTAATCCTCCCAGCAACCCTATGAGGTATAGGTGGTATTATTCTCATTTTGTAGCTGAGGAGGGCTAGGTAACTTGACCAGAGTCACACAGCTGGTAAATGGTAGAGCCAGGACTAAGTATACCAGGCGGTCCAGCTGCAGAGCCCATGCTGTCAACAGCCATATTCTGCTGCTTACTTTACTTTGTCGCTGAATTGCTTAGGATTGCAAATGGCATTAAATATAATCTTTGATGAAACAGGAATATTCTTAAGAGAGGAAAATTGAATATGAAGGAAAGGGCTGGTGGTTGCTGGTGGAGCAGTGTTTCAGAGAGAGTAGGCAGGACTAGGACCAAGAGTGCAGGTAGAGGGTCACTAATGGAAAATCACCCCACTTGATTTTTAGGAGAGGAGGGAAGAGAGGGTTGATAAAAATAGGGAGAAAGAAAGAGGTTGGGGATTTTGTAGGAGGGAGAGAAAGGTAGATAATATTAGAAGATACTTTGAGGTGGTGAGAGAGACCACCATCCATCATGAGAATTATCAAGTGGATTTTTGAAAATGGTCTCCACGAATAGTTTGATGAGATCTAGTAGTCCTATGGAGTAGAAGGCCTGCATGAGCTCGTGTTAGGATGGGACATGCATTGACCTTGACAGATTTCCAAAGCACCCTTTGGTAAAGCTGTGAAGGTCACACCTTCCAAGGCCAGGGCTGTATTTTGGTTAGTTGCTGATTTGCTGTCCCAGGTGGAGTAGACATAGAAGGCTGAAGTAAGAGTCATGTTGTCTTTTTTCTTTGCTTGTGAAGATGTCCCAGGCTTACAGGACAAAGAGAAACAAAAAGCAGATGAAAGAATAAAGGCGATAGAGACACTTTGAATTTGAGGGGTGTTGAGCCATGAATGGCACATTCCTGAATTGCTCCCTAGTCAAACCTATTCAAGGCCTTCTAGAAATCAGATACATTGTGTAAAATAGTGCTTTTCAAACAATCTGTAGGGAAGAGCTCTTTTTGTTGTTAAGGTTGTCAACTGTTTCCATTTTATAAAACATTGTATGATAAATGAATTTGAAAATTGATTAAAAACAAAGACATAAAGAGTGCAAACCCAATTTGTTTCCTATTACTAGATTCAACAGGCACAAGATTGTTCTGTGAAATTATTAGAGTTTCTAAGTGCCTGCTTTTAATTTCTGAAATTAGTTCTTCATGGACTCCTTACATACTCAGAAGGAACAATGGACCTCACTTTGCCCAGTACTGATGGAGAATTGAATGGCACCTCCCTGATAAGACCCTGGCTTGTTTACAGTTTCCATTCCCTGAGCTCTTCCCAGAGTGCCTAGCCCAGTACACAGCTCATGGTGGATACTCATCAAATAAATGCCAGTTAAATGATCCCTTTAATAGATGAGTTTTGAATGCAGGATAAAACTAAATTAGTATGATAACAAGTCTTTCAAAAAGAAGTTAATTAAAATGTATTCATATGGGGGTAGGCTGAACTAAAGCAAAGTGTGCTTTACCTTGTTTGGCAATTTTCAAAAACCACGTCTTTGTAGATTTCAAAAACCTTACTTCCCAGGATACCACCATTTGTCCCTTGTGCTGTGTATACACTAACCTCAGCCACAGTTCGTCTTTTGGTTTTAGATTGTGTCAGCAGCTAAGGTGTGTGGAGCTGCCAGTGAGTCACCGTCAGTGAAGAGCCTCCGCTTGCTTATTGCTGATCAAGACTTTTCCTTTAAAGCTGGCCAGTGGTAAGTGGCTTTTCTGTGTTCCAAGTGTATATATTCAAGAAGGTGCCATCAGATAGAAGGGATTATTTTTTCTCCTGGAAAAAGACTTTTCTGGCTACCCATTCCCTTGAGGAAGAGGAATTCTAGATCCTGTCTGCTCAGGGTGAGCCTTTGTTGGCACAGAGGATCTGATTCCTTTCCTGGCCTTAGAGCCCTTGGGTTTTGAGCCTGTGGCTCCCTCAGTCATATATGAAAATTGCTGTCTTGAGTTTTCCTCATTCAAACAAAGCAGCTAGTTCTGGTCAGTGGAACTGACAGCTCTGATAATTACACTCTTTGGGAACAGTTGCTAACAGAATGCACTTCAGTAATCTAATCTCCTTGAGTTATGTGTTGCTTTTTAAAAATTAGTCTTCTTGGCCGGGCGCGGTGGCTCAAGCCTGTAATCCCAGCACTTTGGGAGGCCGAGGCGGGTGGATCACGAGGTCAGGAGATCGAGACCATCCTGGTCAACATGGTGAAACCCCGTCTCTACTAAAAATACAAAAAATTAGCTGGGCATGGTGGCGCGTGCCTGTAATCCCAGCTACTCAGGAAACTGAGGCA